TTGGCTGCCCCAGGCTTTGCTCTCCCCATGGGTAGGAGGAGAGGTTTTGCTTTTGCTCTGCCGTTCTGCTGCCATGGGAACAGTGGGGTTGTGAAGGAGACCCTTTCGTGATCTTTTAAAAGTTGACAAAATTACAAACTCGGCTGTCTTCTGTTATTTCCATAATTCTTGACAATTTTGTCGTGAAAATTCCTCCTTCATCAGTTCCAATTTGACACACAAATTTGGATTTCTAGTTTACATGCTAGAAGACAAGGGTGGAATACAATTTTGCATTGTCAGCCACTTTTCAGCTTCCTGTTCTATGCTCAGCCTGACTATGTCTGCACTACCAGGTTATTTCAAAATAAGTTTTTTTGAAATAACTCCCAAAATAACTTTCAAAATAAGCTTATTCCTCTTCACAAGCAGGAATTATTATTTTGAAATAACAAGCCCGTTATTTCGAAATAACAGTCTTGGCAGTGTGGATACTCACCTTGTTGTTTTGAAATATTATTTCAAAATAACTCCCAGTGTAGAGATGCCCCCTGTGATTTTGAAATCAGTCATGCTGACTAAGTAAGGGAAAGGTCCTGTAGCTTTTTTGAATTGTTTTTCATTGTTACCTGTCTGTGATTCCATTTTTGTTGTTAAGTAGGCCAGATTTCCACCGCAACAGCAGTCATCAGACTAATCTGTCTAGTCCCTCTAAAATCTATTAATATTTTAGTTTCTCTATTATGTAAAACGTGTTATTATCCATTATAGCCTTCTCATAATCAGTACAAATTTTAATATACTAATATTTGTTCAATAACATGCATCTAGAGACAGTATTTTCCCAAAAGTTGGAAATGCCAGTCCTTTTAGTTTGGTGAGTGAAGATTTTTTTTTGTTTTTTAAACTCCCACAGTGGTTGCTAACACTTTTGTAGGTGCTGCTTCTTTAACAAGGATTCAACAGTGAACTGAATATTTCAGGTAAACATGTGCATCTGTGTGAAAGATTTAGGGTTCATCTTAGGGTACATCTATACTGCGCACTTATTTCAAAATAAGCTGTTCTAGAATAGTTATTCCAAAATAGCTTATTTCGAAATAGCACGTCTATGCTGCAGGGAAGCATCAAAATTAGTCTGGGGCAGGCTTCCCTAATGTAGATGTGCTATCTCGATTTAGAGACCCAGGAGGTACTGGGGAGGAATAACTTAGATTGGCCCTGGTGAGGGGCTATTTGGAAATAGCAGATGTGGGGCATCCATATACGCCTTATTTCAAAATAGCTATTTCAGAATAGGAGTTATTCCTCATAGAATGAGGTTTGCAGATTTTGGAATAAGCCATCTGTTGTTTCAAAATTATTTTGAAATAATAGAATGACTGTTTAGATGCTCGCATTGTTATTTTGAAATAATATTAGTTATCTCAAAATAAGAGTGCAGTGTAGATGCACCCTTAAGGTTGAAGGTTCTTCATCTTTTTAATTGTCTCAGCAAGTGGCATTAGACCTCTGTCATAATTTTTTCTGGCTGGACTAGAATTAGTATGAAACAGAAACACATTTTTTCCATATATAGATGTTTGTAGCCATTATCGGGTCACGTTTCAAATTCATCCCATAATCTTGCTTTGAAGTCAATGTTAATTCTTTTAGTTCTGCCTTTTAACTTTTCCTCTCTTTACTTGCAATGTCTAGTAGTAGACCTTGTGACTGTAAATCTGTGGGAAGGGATCTGTTGCATTGAATCTGCTAAGCAGTAGAAGTATGAGGACACTGCTAAGGGTCAAGCTTTAGCTGTTTGTCCGCTGAGGGTGGATGTAGGTAAAGGATGGGAAGTTAGGAGAAGTGGGTGACAAAGGCACAGAGTGTCTGGGGTCCTAAGTGGTTTGTGGGATTGAAGGCAATTGGCATAGTCAGTACTAGGACCCAGCAAGGTGTTAAGGCCATTTCACCCTTAACAGCTCAAGAGACGATAGTACTTGCCTAAGCCATGGTGCACTCGGACTTGTCAAGACAAGGGCTGGTGTCCCAGATCTCTGCAGGAACCTATAAAGGGGCAGTATTTGGAGGGCATATCCAGGGGAAAATACTCTACTCGTGTACAGTAGACTTCCAAAAATCCGGCACCTTTGGGATCCAGGGGGTGCCGGATTACTGGGTATGCCGGAGCATCAGAAGGTACTCCGGCTGGAGGGCTGTGACAGGTCTGCCGGGACCCGCACTGGGTGAACCTGCCGCCATTTTGCAAGGAGGCGGGGGAAGCCCCGCGCAGCCACCAGTGACAGCCCAGCTGGAGCTGCAAGCGGCGGCGGCGGACTTGGGGAAGCGGCGGGGCAGAGCAGCTGGGGGGCTGCTGGGTTGGTCCTGCAGCGCCACCCCTCGCCTCGCCTCTTCCCCCTCTCCTCCGCCGTCACTTGCAGCTCCAGGTGGCCTGTAGCAGGCGGCTGTGCGGAGCTTCCCCCACCTCCCTGCAAAACAGTGGCGGGTTTACCCCTTGCTGCTCTGTTCCCCGCTGACCACCCCCCGGCTAGACGCAGTGCGGGTCCTAGCAGACCTGTCACAGGGGTATAATCCCCTGTCCTCCCCTTCTCTTTCCCAGCCAGTGAGCGCACATGGGGCTCACAGGAGCTCCAATTGTCCGGCTGGCTGGAGCACTTCCGGGTTCCAGTTGGTGCTGGACTATCAGGAGTGCCGGACCACTGGATGCCGGACAATTGGAGTTTTACTGTATTTACATCACTCATTGTACTCCATTGACAGTTATGTTGTTGTCAGAGCTCCCCCGCCTCTCAAAACTGCCTTACTTTTCAAGAGTATATTTTCCAGAGTTTTTTAACTGTATAATCACTATATGATCTTTGCCTATTTGGGAGGTGTCAGTTACAGAAACTGTTTGAATGAAGCCAGTTGTAAGGACTTTGTGAAAGGTATAGAACAGAAATATGATTTAGTATCATGGCTATGCTGGGACAGGTTAGAAAGCAGAACTACTTAATGAATTTCATATTGTGAAGATTGAAGAATATATAGAAGCATATTATCAAATGCCCTGCTCACAATGAATTACAAATGTGTCATCATGTCTTACATTTATTCACCAATGTCACTTCTCCAGTGAAGGGACAGCTGAGGAGAAACAGCAGCAGTCCAGATCAGCTGAGATTGGCTGCTGCTCCCCAGATTTCTCAATGGGTGAAGAGTATTAGAGCAAATCTGGGACTACACTCCAGATTGACGAGACATATATTGGATCTGTTGCTTCTAAAGGGAAGAGAAGGGAAGCATCTCGTGTGTTTCTGAGTAGAGAGAGAAGAAGAAAAGACCCACTTAATTCCAATTCCCAGGGACTTAAGGATCAGCAGAAGCTGGCCAACTGTTTATCCTCTTCTTTAATTGAAATTACAGAGACAAGTTGCCTAGATGAGCTTCAGAAGGCAATAAAGTCCAGTCTATCTGGTTGAACTCTGAACTTCAAGAAATCTGTGCAGTCTATATTCATAAATTCCATGAGCTTAGTCAGTTCAACACCAGACTTCAAAATATCCATACTAGAAAGCTATACATTTTATTAAAACATACAAGTTACATTAAAGCCTTATGGACTTCTGAGAAGTTCAAATATTCACAGCAAATAATTACAATATTAATTGCCCATTTTTAATAATCCCAATATTAATTTTCCAGAATAAAATGAAAGCCCAGTGCTACAAACTCTTATAATCATGATAGTCTTTATTCACACAAATAGTCTTATTAAAATGAATGAATCTAGTCATGTAAACAAGCATTATCCAGCCCAGTTTGGGTTTGCCAGATATAAGCCTCATACTTGGAGTATCTGGGCAAAGTGGCATTTGAATTATGACATTTTCAAGAAAGTCAAAGTAAGTTAGATTTGTCTAACATTAAAATAGTTTTCAAACTCCTGTTTCCAAAATGCCTTTTTTGAGTTACCTCAAAATTTACCAAATCCATAAATAAATAATCTGCTGTCAGGAAACCATGTGGAACATTTTGGGCAGAAATGAGCATATATACAGAAATCAGAAAGTGGTTAAATTGAAATTATAATGAATAGTTGGTTATAAACTATGCAATTCCATATAATATTATATACAGGCAGCTTATTGAGAATGTGATAATTATTAGTAATTGGAATATAAAACCTAGGAAAGTCCTTTTAAAAAAACTCAAGCTGTTATTAAAATCATACATTTATATAACAGAAAGATTTTAAAAAATCTTGGTGGTTATTTCAGAAATCTAATCTTTCAACCATAGTCTGTAGACCTCCAGTTTCCTATTGTAAACTTCATGTACTGACCTATTTACTGTGACCGTAATCACTTCTTATGAGCAAGAGGCCTAAACATTTCCAGACTGTATCATGTCATGTATTACATCCATGTATGGGACTATACAGCAAACCACATCAGTCAGGGTATGTCTACACAGCAGCGTTATTTTGGAATAATGTCAGTTATTCCGAAATAATGTAATGCGCATCTACACAGCAAGCCCGTTATTTTAAAAAAAAATCAAAATAATGGGCTTCTTACTCTGACTTCTATAATCCTCATTGTATGAAGAGTAAGGGAAGTTGGGGGAAGAGTGCTCTGTTTCAAAGTAAGTGCTGTGTAGATGTGCCCAAAGTTGAAATAAGCTATTTTGACTTAAGCCACGCAATTGACATAGCTCAAGTTGCATAGCTTATTTCGAATTTAACCCTGCTGTGTAGATGTGCCCTCAGTGACACATTTGCCAGTTTACTGGGTTTTTTTTGTTTGTTTTCATAACTGTATCAAACATTCTTCAGTATTTATTTTGTAAGGGTTGTGGTTTGCATTAACATCATTTTAGTCAATTTCATAATTAAATTTCAGGATGCAGTATCCATCATTAAAGGAATCTTGATTATACTAGTACAAAACTCCTCTGGAATAAACTCTTATAAAAACCACAAACTTAAAATTATTTTGTTTAAAACTGATCAACTCTTTACATTTTCTTTTAAACAGGAATGGGAAATACATAGGATCCTGTGAGAAACAGTGAACTGAAGAAACTTTCCTGAAGCTCAAGGAGCCTATCATTTCCAAGGAAATCTTGACTGGTTTTAAAAATGTTCAGAACTGCAATTAGTATCTTCCCCTAAAATAGTTGTTGAAAGTGAATACATTATTACCAGCATTATATTTCAGACTTTAATCTTAAAGGATCACATTTCCTCAGCATAGTCTGTTGAACAAACAACACAAACGGATGCCATCCAGCACAACAGCTTCAGATGTGGGGAAATAGTTGTATTTACACCAGCATATTTAGTTGACCCTTTTGTTGCCAATTTCAGAGCTGAAAGTCCCAGAAAAATAATCTTTTCTCTGAAATAAATCAGTGCAATTAGTTAAACTGACCTGTGTAAATAATTTTGGGAGAAGCATGCAGGCAAACCAACCATTGAGGTAAATCAAAACTGTTACAAACAACTGAGTGATTTGTAACTTGTCAAGGAACATATGTCACTGAAAAAAACTAGAAATGGCTCATAAAAAATTAAATTGTTCTAGGACTCTCCACCCCCCAATTCCACGCTGTATACTTCATTAATTAATCGGTCAATGCCACCCAGCGAAAATCTGAGCAATCAAGCTGTAGCAAACACAGTATGGTTATAGATATCTATACAATGTTGAAATTGGACAAGTTCAAAAGTTCAGCAGCGAGTAGCTGCAAGGACGGGCTGCCGCCACACCCCTTTCTGCTGTCAGCATGTGAGAAGAGTCCACGGTTGGAAATAAGGCGGAAATTGACCATGTGCCAAGAAGGAGAGTTGAGCAAGAAAAATTCACAGTAACGTTCAACCTTAAACCACTAAGAAAAAAAAAGTAAAAAGGGAGGGGGGGGGGGGGAAGAGGAGGCTGACTGTGCCGCGGAGCTGGGAGTGGTTTTTTTATTGGGGTGGGGGGGAGATCAGCCAGGTCCAACCTCTACTAGAGCCATGGAGAGCCCGGTCCTATCCTGTGTCATTTACCCAGGTGATGGGAATATGGGTGAGGCAAAAAAGACCTGCCCCACGCGGCTCTGCGGAGAGGCGGAGCAGCAGCCGGGGGTCCCTGGAAAAGCTCCGGGGGAAGCGGAGAGCAGCAACGGCAGCCAGCAGCCCCCCGGCTCCGGGGAAGGGAGCGCGGCAGCGGAGGAAGAGGAAAACGGGGGTGGGGAAAGCGCCGCGCTGCAGTTGCAAGCTCCCTGCGGTTTCAGCTCCTCCTTGTGCTTCAGCTCGCCCGGGGGGGACAAAGCCCCGCAGCAGGATCCCGGAGCCGCCTCCCCCTGCAGCCGGGTAGTGCAGAGCCAGTGGGAGATTAACAACGCGACGGCCGAGGAGGGGGAGGCGGGAGGAGGCGGCGACATCGCCCGGCCGCCGCCTGGCACTTACTGCCCCCAGGCTGGAGCGCAGCCCAGGAGCCCGCCGCCGCTCTCGGAGGAGCCGGACCTGGTGATCGAAGTGTCCGGCCGGCACATCCGCGCCCACAAGTCGGTGCTGGCGGCCAAGAGCGACTATTTCCGCGCGCGCTCGTCGCGAGATATCCTGCGGGTGAAGGGGGTGAGCTACGGGGCGCTGCGCCTGCTCATCGACTACGTCTACACGGCCCGCATGGGCGAGGTGCGCCACGACAACCTGGCCGAGGTGGTGAGCGGCGCCCGCGTGCTGCAGATGCCCTGCGCCCTGCACTGCGCGGCCGAGGCCATGCGCGCCCAGCTGCGCCTCGACAACTGCTACCAGCTGCTGTGCCTGGCCAAGAAGCAGCGGCTGGCGGAGCTGCGGGAGGCCGCCTACCGCTTCATGAGCGACCACTACCTGCAGGTGCTGCGGGAGCCCGCGGTCTACGGCCGCCTGAGCGGCGCCGAGCGGGACCTCATCCTGCAGCGCCGCCTGGAGGCCGGCAAGCGCTGCCTGCTGGTGGCCGAGGTCAGCGACGCCTTCGAGAGGCTGAGCGCGGGCAGCAGCCGGCCGCAGAGCCGGGAGAGCAGCCGGCCGCAGAGCCCCTCCTCCGTGGTGTCGCTGGAGGAGAGCAGCTACCTGATCTACTGCTACCAAGAGGCGGCCAAGGAGTGGAGGGTGCTGACCCGTCTGCCGGAAGAGGCCAATGCCAAGGGCTGTGCCATGTGCGTCCTCTACAACTATCTCTTCTTGGCTGGAGGCATCACGTCATCATCGGGGGAGCAGCGCGCCCGTCTCTCCGACAAGGTGTTCTGCTACAACCCGCTCACTGACACATGGAGCCAGGTGCGGCCATTGGGCCAGCCCCGCTCACAGCTCAAGCTGCTGGCCCTGGACGGCTACCTTTATGCTGTCGGGGGCGAGTGCCTCTTCACGGTGGAGAGGTACGACCCGCGGGCTGACCGCTGGAGCTCAGTGGCCCCACTGCCCAAGGGTGCCTTCGCTGTGGCACATGAAGCCACTACCTGCAATGGGGAGATCTATGTGTCGGGTGGCTCCCTCTTCTACCGCCTGCTCAAGTACGACCCTCGGCGGGACGAGTGGCAAGAATGCCCCTACAACAGCAGCCGTCGCCGCTCTGCCGACATGGTGGCCTTCAAGAGCTTCATCTACCGCTTTGACCTGAACAGTGGACGTGGCGAGCAGGGCCAGGCTGGTGGGGTCGAGGTCTTCCGCTACAACACTGTGGCCAAGCGCTGGAGCCAGTGTGCCTCTTTGCGGCCCAGCGGCAACCCCCTGCAGCCCTTCCGCTGCGCCGCACTGGGCAGCACCATCTACTGTGTTAACCGGGCTGGCTCTTTGCGCTTCAACCTAGCCCAGGATGGCGAGGTGGAAGCTGATGGAGGACTGCCAGGTAGCTTCGATGCAGAGCTGCTCAAGGCCCCCTTTGAGGCCAAAGGTGTCCTCCTGCCTTTTGTGCTCACTCTACCAGAGAAGCCTGACAAAGCTGGAGAGCCAGACAGCCCCCTTGTGCTGTGAGTGGACTTGGTGTGGGGGGCAGCCAGCTCAACTGTGGGTAGGGGCTGTGTTCAGTTCCAGTGGGGCATCTCCATCAGCTGGTCTAGGGCCCCTTCATCATTGCATGGCACACATCCAGCCAGAGGCCTACACCACTCCATAGGTGGGAGCTGGGCCTGCTTTTATCTGAGCAGCCTGCTCCACAGTTACAGCCCCAGACTAGGGGCACCTTCAAAAGGTATGCATGCATTAGCCAGCTGAGGTGCCCCTCTTGAAATGTTGATATAGAGCCACTGCTGGTTATAACCACTCTAATCTTTACTGTGCTTCATGTGGGAAGAATTCACTCCTTGGCACTGGTTAGCAGCCAAGCAAATTAAAGAAAAGTTGCTAAAATAGGATAATCTTTGGGATAATGTGAGCCAGTTCCCAATCTGGAAAAGAACTTTTGCCCTGGAGTTATATAAATCCCTGATAACAGAGGTTTGTAATGGAATATTTAATAGTGTTGCTCTTGTACATATACACGAGGAGCTGCTGCTTCTGCCATTCATTTTCTTCTCTCTTCTGGATATCGGTTGTGAATGCTGCTGGCTACATAATTTAAAAGAATTCAGTTTACTTTTGATGCTAAACTTAACAGTTCATATGTTAGAAAAGTGTAAGGAGATCATCTGAATTTCATCCTTTCGGTTTTGGTTCAATAGACTCTTTAAAGAAGACATAGCACTGCTGCCCCAAGAATTTGCAACCACAACGAATGATTTAACAGAGACCAGCTTTAAAGTATTTAAGCATTTAAATTTTAAATGCCTGCCACATGTTCATATTTGGAACACAGGGGGAAAGTCAATTTACCATAGTACAGCAGAATTGAAGTTTTCATACACTCCATGGCTGAAAGAAGTGAAACTTTGTGGAAAAGACAATGCTCTACTTTTTTATGAGAAGTTTTAAATTATACTAAACAGGAAGCAAAACTGTTCAGTTCATGACAGATTGACATGACTGTGGGTACCACTAAGTTTTAGGGAAAACATTTTGTAGTTTACTGTTCTTTAAGTGCAAATCAATGAAAATCAGTGAACCTAAACCAAATGTGAATTCTTTGAAACTGGCTTCATTCCGTTTACATATTTCATTTTATGTCCAGTAGCTTGTGGTAAGGGACTATTCCAGCATAGAAAAGGCTCTCACAGGAGAACAAGAAAAAGAGTTTGCTACACAGGCTGATTATACTCATGTATTAGAATGATGGTGACATTTCCTTATCTTTTAATTGAGAGAATGATCTATTTATTTCAGGTAGATGAATGTCATAATTAATAACTTACTGATGAATTATAGTTCATACTGATGCCACATACTTTTGTTTGGATTCTGAATCTTTAGAGAACAATTGTTTATGGAGCAGCATATAAAGAGGAGAAAATTGATATCATGGGATGCTGAAGCAGACTTTTTGTCATGTTATTCAGAAAAAAAGAGCAAACCTTCTGGACAAGCATGTTGTATTAAAAAAGTGCACTTGCATTTATTTCATATATTTTATATGTAGACATCCAACAAAAGGATACAGAAAATTTGTTTAAATTAATAAGAAACCATTTTCTAAAAATAAATGCGGTGTTTTTGCTATTGCTAATTCAGTCTGGAATTGTCACTTGATTATGGAAAAGAATTGTTTATAAGTATTCATTCTAGAAAGACATCACATCAAAGAACTGCAGTAGAAGAATCTTTATGTTTTATTAAAATACCTTATTGAGCAGGGTCCTAACAGTAAAATTCTTATATCTTATTGCTACTTCTAAAAAAAGTAGTAGATTCTACTATAAGACATAATTTTGGCAGACAGAATCCAGGGAGTTCATGGTTTGTTTGATGTTTTACACAGTTGATCTGATTCCACACTATTTAGAAACTAGTGATGCAATCATGAATTTTTAGTCAAATAATCTCTTCCCCAGTGAATTCAGTGGATGTTTTGAGTGAACAAGGATTGTAGGACTGGACTATTTACATTTTAGCTTGACCAGAATGCTAGTTGGTTGAATGGATTAGAATTTGTGTTGTGTATACATGCAGATATTAGATATTGATCTTTTACTTGCTGATACACTTAAAGATTGGTTAATTCTTCAGCTCAACAAATAAGATTTTGCATTTTGCTCCTAAATATATACTGCCGTCTAATTATAAGAAAAGCTTTGAGGTTAAAGAAAAAATGATTTATGTACATTAGAATTATTTTTCATATGCACAGGTAATGCTTCAGTTCCTGTAAATGCAAACACTTCTGCACATGCTTAACGCTAAGTAGGGTGCAAGTATATGCTAGATAGGGCCTGAACCAGTACAAGAACCAGATGCACATATTGAAATGTTCATTTTATCTCATACTACAATTATACAATTGTTTATGCATTTGAATACCTTATCTAGGACAGTATTTATACTACATTTCTAGTGAGGAAGCTAATAAGGTGTGTAATTTTTTCCCTTTTGCATTTTAATTTAGTGATATTTCATGAAAATGCTGCCTGGTTAGTTTTGGGTAATTACTGTGACCTTAAATTTATGAAAATATTCCACAAACATCCAACCAAGGTTTGAAATGTACCTTATATCATAGCACGTGCGCGCGCGCGCGCGCGCGCACACACACACACACAAATCAATAGTGCTACAGACACCATGAAGACATTTTTACTATTTCATTCAAACAGGGAATGATAGTATTAGGCCAAAGTGTGCATTCACCATTTACCCTGGCAAAATGAGAGCAGAATCTGGTCTTAATGAGTAGAATTTCTTTTATACCTTATTTGCATAATCACAGCCAGATGATTGATTTTTTTTTTTTTTTGTAACAAAGACATTTCTGTCTGGTTTCCGGTTCTCTGTCCCTTGTTTCCTAAGGAAGCATGCTGTGATGTTTTCCTTCCAATATATCTTCAGAACTAAATTATTATGAATGTACCAAATTAAATGAAAATACAAGCCTTACTCGCAAAGTTATCAACAGATGGAAATCTACTAAATAATGACATGAGAAAGAACCTTAAATCCTACAGCACAGTTTATAAAACTCTTTATATCTTGAAACCAACTCAAAGGAATAATTGTCAAAAGAATAACCCTGTTTGCTCAACATATGAACTGCTAAAGCTAAACAATACTGAAACATCGCTCATCATACCTGTTCAATGAATAAAAACTGTTGTGCAGTAAGCTAATGTGAATTCCATACACAGTGAAATTCTTTGTAAATAAATAGCTGATGGGATTTCAACTGCTAAAAGAATAAATGATACACATGAAAGCTGTACATCTCCTGTGCTGTTTGGTTAGGTATCAAAGTAGTTGCTCTCAGTACCTTTGGATATCCGTTGTTCATCAGTAGCTTATTGCCTTTCATTCTTTACAACATTGATAGCAGTGACTGTTCCACAGATTCTTTGCAGTTTACAAGCATAGAGCTTAAACTGGGCACTGGGTTGATTTGCTTTGTGTCTGTATAGTGACACCTAGCATTTGTTACTTGAATGAACACCAGAAGTTGGATAGCGAGTTATTTCTTTCTTAGGTTGAGATTCTCTCAATGACATGATTTTGGTACAGTTATAAAAGCATAAGAAAAGAGGAGAAATTCTTACTTATATTCTATTCTAATGGTACCATGAAAGTAACTATATGAGTCCCTTAATTAATCTGTCTTTAAGGGGTAATATCCTGCCTTTTATCTGTGCACTGAACTCACAGTACATTGAAAGGTCATTTATGTGTGGTATGATAGCAAAATGTAGCCCTAAATTTCTAAGAACATAATTTTTTAAATTTAAGGGTGTGCAGATCCTGTTGCATTATAACCAAAGGCAGGAGGCTAGGATAGCACGTACGTCTAGAGGGACCAAATTCTGCTTTCAGTCAAATCAGTGTACATGTAGAATAATTCCACAAATTTATACCAGTATGACTAAGAACAAAATTTAGCCCACAGACTTTTTGGGTCATATTCTGCACTCAGAAAACATCTCAGTCCCACTGATGTCACATCATTCCTTCTGGCTTAAGGAACGTATCTTACTAAGAGCTGCTAGAGTAAATCGATCAGACTCGGGAATCAGTATTTTGTTTTGTATTTTAGAGGTGCGCTCAGCTTCATAAGTTACCAGCATTTATACAGCAAGTAGAGGCAGAGACAAATGCACATTTTCTCCTATTTCATTTTAACTACCATTTATTTAGCCAAAGCAAACAAAATAATGAGGGGGGAAGGATAATGGGGGAACCAAAAGTAGTATTTTAGCCATTGCGGAATACATGGCCAATCTTCTTAAAATATTTTAGTAAATACATTCTCCTACTTCTATTTTTCCATAACTGGAGCACATTTCAAACAAATGCAGTATTTTTCGGTGAGCTAATTTATTGCAGCAACCTCATGCTTTGCTCTTTAAGTGTTTGTTAGTGGTGAATAAACCCTTGACAAATTTGTGAAACTATAAACTGACCACATTGATACTGTAATTTATCACAGACTAACTAGTGCAGATGCTTCAGACACTGTGCACAATTCAGGTGGATTACATTTGTAACTGATGTATTTATTAACAGTTCAATTTTAAATATCTAGGCAAAATCACTGTAAAGCTTTTTATGTTCTCCAACTTAAGCTGTAATGGAATAAATACATGCAAAAGCTCCCTTCAGGGCAGTGCGAGTAGTCTGTGTCCTTTATTTATTCTTTATTAAATTTATTTATTTTATAAACAATAATCTATATTGTTTACAATCAGTAAACAGAGTTGGCAGCATTCTTAACATACAGCATTCTTAACATTAGAAGTAGTCTGTGCATATATTTTAATGGCATTCATGATTGTGTTATAAAAAATCTGAAAAAAATTCACTGTGCTTTGAAAACAGTTGCCAGTCCATCTGAAAGATGACATTACCTTTTTGTAATTTGTAGCATGACAAGACCGAAATCCACTTTACTTCTAAAAAGGCCTGTTAATTGGCTGCTGTGTATGGTGCAATGGTGCTAGCTTAGAAAGGTGATATTATCCCCAAACCTGGAGACAAATTGTGGTTAATTCCCACTTCCGGAAGCTTCCATAAAGAAAGTAACATTAATGTATCTAAGGTTACAGGTAAGGTTGTCTGAGCATATTCTGGATATGTCAGACTCATGATACTTGGCAAATCTAAGGGTGACAGGGGGCCTAATTCTCCACTTACACCAGCTTGACTTCAGTGGAGTCACTGATTAGCACCAATGTAGAACCAATCAAGCCCATAGTACAAATGTACTACATGGCCTCCAGCTACTGGTTTTCTTATGAATAAATTGGGAGTCCACTTCATTTGAATCTAAGCCAGCCAGAGTGAAAGAAATGTAGGGAGCTAAACTCATAGGCAAGATGAGATGGACTCAAATTTGGTGTACATCTAACTTTTTCCTCATCTGTCCATTAGGATAGCTTATACCAGTTTATATTCCCTTACATTTATTCTGCTGTCATTTTCTCTGGTGTAAATCTGAAATACTTAATGGACCTCACACCTACCTTAGCATTAAGCAGTTTGCCCTTTCCCTTACTCCTGACACCTCACCACTGAATTGGGCCCACTGTTTACAGCTATGTTTAGTTGGGTGTAACTCTCAGGCTGGAAGAGAAACATGTAGAAAGAAAAGGACCTAACTGGATTGGTAAGAATATATACTAGGAGATGTGTGCATATGACTCACATTGAGTTTAGTGGAAATTGGGTACACCCATTTCCCTGGTTGATTAGGCTCATAGGGTCAAATTTTAGCTGGGTCTGTAGCCAATTAGTGATGACTAGCTCCAAACGTAGTTTGTAGCCACAGACAATATGGCTAATTCTCAGATGAAAAAAGCCAAAAGTACTGAAGGTACTTATCACATAGGCCACATAGATTGTGTTTAGGTGTGTCTACATTACACGCGTATTTCGAAATAAGCTATTCCTGAATAGTTAATCCAAAATAGCTTATTTAGAAATAGCATGTCTGCATTGCAGGGAAGCCTCAAAATTAGTCCAAGGCAGGCTTCCCTAATGTAGATGTGCTATCTCAATGTAGAGCCCCAGGAGGCCCTGGAGAGGAATAACTTAGAATGGCCCTGGTGAGGGGCTATTTAGAAATAGGGTTGCCAGGTGTCCGGTATTCACCCGGACAGTCCAGTATTTTTGCCTCCTGTCTGGTAAAAAAAATCAGAGAATACAGGACACCTAAAATGTCTGGTATTTTCTGATTTTTTTCCCGGCCAGAGACGAAAATGCAACCCTACAAACACTCAGTGCCCAGCCTCCCCCTCGACCCTGAGGGCCCCCCCCGCTCCCAACACCCCTAGCCCCCCGACCCCAACCCCCATGCTTACCTGGTTCCGCAAGGCTGCCGGCACAAAATGGCTGCCAATCAAGGGGAAGCAATGCTTAGTGCTCAACTGCACCCCTGTTCCTATCCCTGCACTCACTCTTAAAGGGGACATGCTGTTTTAATGCTGTTTTATTTTTTAAAATTTTTTTGCTTAATAAGTCTTGGAGTCTTTTTCTTTCTGAACAATTTTGGTCTCCCCCTCTCCCCCTTTTTTTCCCCCTTCAACAGAATTTTTTCCTGGTGTTTTTTTTTGGAGGGGGGAGGTGGCGTTCGGTATTTTTGTTTCAACCATCTGGCAACCCTATTTGGAAATAACAGAAGTGGGGCATCCACATATGCCATATTTGAAAATAGCTATTTTGGAATAGGTGTTATTCCTTGTAGAATGAGGCTTACAGATTTCTAAATAAGCTGTACGTTATTTCAAATTTTTTTCAAAATAATGGAATGGCTGTGTATGCACTCTCATTGTTTTTTCAAAATAATGGTGCAGTGTAGATGCACCCTTTCAGTGTGATCCTGATGTAGAGGTATGTTCTCTGTAGTACCAAGCACAGTATACATTTTTAGTCCCCCTCAAATGTTTGTCCCCCATGCTTTCACTGTTTGCCATGACCATGAGTCTCTCCATCGCGAAAATGGCGATTGGGGCTTTCTTGCGCAAAAACGCGTCTAGCTTGGCACAGACGCTTTTCCACAAAAAGTGCTTTTGCGGAAAAGTGCCCATGCCAATCTAGACACTCTTTTCCGCAAATGCTTTTAACAGAAAAACTTTTCCATTAAAAGCATTTGCGGAAAATCATGCCAGTCTAGACGTAGCCATAGTGTGTACTTCGCTGTAGTCCAGTGGTCCCCAACCTTTAGAGGCTCCCAGGCTCCCAGGGGCGGGGCCACTCACGCGCCGGGCGCCTGGGGGGTGGGACCACTCACGCACCGGGCACCCGGGGGCGGGGCCGCGCGTCCTGGGGCACGCCAGGGGCGGGGATGCCCTTGCACCCGGCACTGGCATGTGCCCCAGGGCCAGGGCCGCCCGAGCGCCTTGTGCCGTTCTCTCACACACACACACACACACACACACACACACACACACACACACACACACACACACACACACACCCCACCCACCCCTAACAAATTCATCCAGAGCACAGTACCTGGTGGTAATGAGAGGATTTCCCACTACCCAAATACCTACTGGGAAAACAATACAGCAAGGCACAGATTTAGGGATGTAAGCAAATAGTCAACTATCCAATAAGCAAATGCTTTATCGCAGTGGTCTCCAACCTTTTGGGGCAGAGCGTCCAGAGCGCAAGAATGGCTTGGGCTAGCCCATATAACTCAGTGCGCACACAAATGCCCCGGTGGGCGCCGCGTTGGGGACCA